GAGCGAAACTCGCAAGCATAGCAAGTATATTTTACAAGTCTACAAGATTACTGACCAGGTTGCAGGTCAGAGAGCTACAATTAGGAAGTCAGACTAAATCGGTAGCATATAATAGCGGTATCAACAGAAAAACCATCCTTTTGAAACACCGTGTTTTGCGACCAGGAAGGTTAAACTATTCAGAACATCAGAGAGAAACCGTGATCTCTCAAATTTATTTAACTTCTGAGTGAAACGCAAGCATAGCAAGTATATTTTACAAGTCAACAAGATTACTGACCAGGTTGCAGGTCAGAGAGCTACAATTAGGAAGTCAGACTAAATCGGTAGCATATAATAGCGGTATCAACAGAAAAACCATCCTTTTGAAACACCGTGTTTTGCGACCAGGAAGGTTAAACTATTCAGAACATCAGACAGAAACCGTGATCTCTCAAATTTATTTAACTTCTGAGTGAAACGCAAGCATAACAAGTATATTTTACACGTGTACAAGACTACTGACCAGGTTGCAGGTCAGAAAGCTACAATTAGGAAGTTAGTTCGATTCTCACTCGTTACCCTACTAATATGGATCAGCACCAGACTAAATTTGTATCGATACATATTAAAAAGGTATCTAAGTAGGTCATAATTATAAACTCCGATTTATCTTAAATCCAGGCCGGTTCATTTGATATCGCTTACGGCTCAGGTCAACTTGTGATATGGTTTTTAGGCACTTTCCAAACGGTGCCTCACGCTGGTTTCACCTCCCCAGACCGATAAAATCAGAAATTGAAGCCACAGATATGTGGTTCTACAGAAAAAGGCTGAAGATACCATGGACCGAACATGTGAGCAACTACAAAGTTTTAGCGAAAATAAGTGAAATCTATATTTAATATCAGAAAGAGACAGTATAAATTTTTGGCGCACATAATGAGGAAGGAGGGCTTGGAAAATTTGACACTCACAGAACAAAGGGACAGGGGAAAACACCGCATGACATACTTAACGAGATTGGGTAAATAGTGGCGGAACAGGGTTTAGGAGAAATAACGAAAAGACAGAATTTATTTAGAGCTACAAAGGACAGAATATTGTGGAGAGCCCTGATCGCCTTCGTCCTGAGGAGTCCCGGCATACAAAGTAGTAGTAAATGTCACTTGATGAGAAAAAAACATGGCGACTGAAAAGTTGTAAAACGTTAAGAAAGCAGCAGAGGGGTATGGAGGGTAGGGAAAAGTTAAATGTCAGTATATGCGGGACCGTTACGCCACAGAAAGTCTCTTCAGAAGTTCGACTTATTTTTTGTTGTCGGTTTAATTAACGAAATATTTCAATTGCTTATCTCACTTTACACAGGTGTGATGTTTGACTAGCATTAGAAATTACTAATGGAAATCTATCCTTTAAACTCTCTCACACATATACGTATAGAAATATGCCTTTCAGACAATTTTTAAAGCACACAGTTTTTGTTTTGTTTAACAGCATATCAACTCCTTATGCGTCAATTTAATGCTGAAATACAATTTTCGTAGGAACATTAGTAATTTCTTTTACAAAAATGTATTGCTACGAATTTTTTCTTCAAAAATGTATGGCTGGCAATTTTTCTTTTACAAAAAAAAAGCATTGCTGGTACTATTTTTTTCTCTTAAAATGTATTGCTGGTGATTACTTTACTATTAAAATGCATTACTCGCACTTCTACTACAAAATGTATTTTTATACTTTCATAGTGTTTTGATCCCAGTTTGGGGTTTAACTCTTTGCCGATAACTGGGACCCAAGCAGGTGCTACAACCTCGGATCAGGGTAGACCTGGGAACAGCAATTGAGAGGTGGTTCCACGCTCTTCAAAACCTCTCGATCAGAGGCCTTGTAGTTTGTCGTCATACCCAGGAACCTTAAAGCACAGAGAATCATTTTTAGCTGTAATCAACATTTGATTAAAAAAGGAAAAAAAATAACGTAGATGATTCTGTAATAACCGCATTTTTGTCATGAAGCATTAATAAAATCAACTTCATTCTCTTGATCGATTGCTTAAAACCATTTTCTAGAATAAATTATAACTGTCAACATCCCCTTTTATTCGCGGTTTCATTTATCGGCCAACATGGATTTTCAGTTTTCCGCGGTCAGCCTCAATCTAAATAAAATTTTACCTCGTATGAACACTTAAGAAAGAATTTTTTCTCATGAATAATGAATTTTTACAAGAATTGTTTTCATCTTTTAAAGATTTTAATTAGAATAATTTATAAAGTTTTAAATTTATGTATTAATTTGTACCGGTTAAGTGATATTGTTATTAAGTCAAAACTATATTTAGTAATCATAAATGGAAAAGCTTATTACAATTCAGCGACCACACCCAATATTTTAAAAAGAATTTTGTATCTTTTTGTGTGTTTAAACGTGCTGACTTTTGTAAATATGGACATCCATACACGATATTATCAGAAAATAAAAACGATAACTATAGTAAATTACCTAAAATTCAATAAAACATCAGATTACGGAGAATATTTTTCTAAATTTTTAAGATTACTGGGTAGTTAAAATTTCTAGAAAAAAGGCGCTCATCTTATATTTCTCAAGTAATTTATACAGATATGTCTACCGTAGAAAAAATTAAATAAACTTCCGTTTGCTAGTCAAGCTGTCAACACCTAAAATATACATCTACCTTAAAAATGTTAAAAATGCATTTCTGAGATATTTTAAATTTAAATTAAGTAATATCTATTTCAAATCAGATTAATTAAACTTTAAATCAGCTAATATTCCACAAAGTTTCAGAAAAGTATATTTTATTTTTTAAAGATTTTTAATAAAGAGAAGTACATTGTGTTGACAGATGGCTAAAAATGGCGTTAAAAATCAGCGATTTTTAGTGATTTCAAACACAAAACGTTTTCCAGTAAATTTAAATTGATTTTGAAATACAGCAAAGAATTTTGCTTATTGGGAATACCAAGTTAAATCTATTAACTTGAAATTAAAACTAAAATAAAAGCTTCAAGAATGATTTTACATTTTTAAAAATTCATTTTAAATGTACCATGTTTCTGTGGAGGTACCTATGTTATAATTGTTTTATTTTATTATTATTTACTGTTGTTAATATGTTCCTGCACCTAATGAGATCTACCGTAAAACGAATCTCCTGATACATTTTTTTTAGTATATTTTAACTATATTTGTAATAATTTTGGTACTTGCTTTGCGTAGGGAGGTTAATTCATTTACAAGGAAATTATTTTTGGTTTTCCTTTTGATAGATAGTATTCTCTCAAAATTTGCCGCGCTTTTCTTCCATCGTCAGGGGCTTCTCTCATAATAAGAGAGACTTCCATCGTCGAGAAGTTGGATTAATTCGGCAATAGCGTTTGCATTTTTTTCCACGGTACTCTTCGTCATTGAGATGATTAAATGGTGCCAAGATTGTTTCGTTGGATTCATCTGTATGGAGTTATTTTTAAACGTAAATTGTATACCAAAAAGAAAGAAAGCTGTCCAAGATCAATCGTTTTTAGTTATTCTTTTAAACGTGTTTTTAAATTAATTGACGCAGAATTGCAATTTGCATATATCATTTGCTTGCTTTATATTATTTTTGTTCCGGTTCTTTTCTTTTTCTTGTTTATTACGAACTTTGTCAATTCTGTTTGTTGGGCAGTTCTGGCATTTATTTATATTTAACGATGGTCAATCACTCTACAGTATTTTATTATTTATTGCTGTTAATCTTATTGTTTCTCACTTAAAAATTAACATTTATGATGATTTAATAAAAAAAAATATATCAAAGTTTGTTATTTTAGGTTTCAGGTATTTGCTGATAGGAGGCCTTCGAACATATCCCCCTCCATTCCCGCGGATAAGAAGGGGGTTTACTGTACACATTTCAACTTTTTGTAATCATTTGAAGATTTCTTCTTACTGTAACAATTACGAAAAGTTCACGAGATTGTTTATTTTATGGCTTGTAAAAAACATGACAAACATTTTCGCGTTTTCTATGACAATATTACAAATTACGAAACGAAGATCATGACAAATCCATAATAAAAGAAGGCCTTATTGTTTGCCCGTCGTACAATAACTGCATTTGACTTTGTATGCGCGTATGTGTGTTGTGCGTGAAAAAACAATTTGTAGAAATGCTTAGGTCTACCACAGAATTAAAATATGCATACACACACAGATTTGAATGAAAGTGAAATTGACATATGTGTCATAGGGGCTTCGTTTGGTCGATTTTGTTTATCGACATATCAACCTTTAGGTGTTATTTAATGCCGAAATCTAAATATTTTGAACACAATTTTATGGCTTCAATTAGATATATCTGTAAGCCTTTGACTATAAATAAAATGTATTCTTGGTAGTTTTTTTATATAAAAATGTATTGCTGTTATTTTTACAATAAAAATGTATTCTTATACTGTTTTGTTTTTAGTGTTTAATTTCATAGTGTTTTATTTTGGGGTTCACTATTTGCCCGTAGCGGGAGGCCCTAACAGTTGCTACCACCCCGGGTCAGAGTGAACGTGTAATATCCCCAAAAACCTCCAGGCTCCCGATCAGAGGCTTTGCTGCCGGATATTGTTTATGGTCATAAAATGGACATATGTGTCACGGGGGACAATTTCCATTTCTGTCAGGCAACAAGCCCCAGGTAACAGGAAAGGGTATAAACTTCTGTATTTAAACTGAATAAATTTGATCATCCTGTTGCCAGTGAAGTGACTGGTGCTATAATTTTTAAACACTTTCTGACGATCCACTCACACATCTGCATATACAATTCTATAACGATGACAAGCGAGCTACTCTGAAGAAAATTCCTGTACTTGAAATAACAGAGTAAAAAGATGGAAAAAAAAGAATAAGCCAGTGGATTGGTGCAGGTTATTGCTTTAGCCCAGGGTGCCGACTTTTTGCAAACAAAGGACGGCTGGACTCACCAATATCATGTACTAACGACTGACTTCTGTCCCTACCCGTTGAACCGCTGTACGAATGTCGATTGCCATCCAGCGACGTACTCCGTGCAGCTTTCGTATGACTGGGCCCAATCGTCGTGTACCGATCATTGCTAGTAATTGCTGGAATCGTTGGGGCTGTTGGAGGTGCAACCGATTTGTAAATGCTCGATTGTGAATTACTTTGATTTAGAAGCAACTGTCCTGTCACACGGTAGTGGGAGAAGTTGCTCGCGTGACTGATGGTGGCGTAGCCGGAGGGTTGCGACCCGGAGTGTCGACTTTTATTGTTGATTGACCGGATCGTACCGTACTGGTAAGCATGTTGGCTGATAGTCGGTGAAGGCAGATTTTCATTCTGTAAAGAAACAAGACAGAAACTAATGAATACTAATAGAAGATTTCAAAGAGATTTACATTTGTATTAACCTGACATGATAAATACTATCGGTGTGTGTGTGTGTGTGTGTGGGTCAATAGTTAATGCAGCTAGGCTGGTTGACAATTAGTGCTGAGTAGAAGTCCTCAATATGTGCCTCATACTTGTGGCCTTATGTCAAACTAAGCTAAGTTTAATAGACGACGTTGCAAACAGAACTGAATCCCTTTTTGCTGCTATATATATATATATATATATATATATATATATATATATATATAGAGAGAGAGAGAGAGAGAGAGAGAGTTTTATAAATTATAGATTTAAAGTATGATATATTCATGTGTTAAAGTGCTCAGTATCAGAGATAGAACGTATGTAAATATATAAGTGAACATTGAGGTCAAAAACCAGCGGCGAGAGTCTTGTGTTTAAACGCAACATTCAAGTCATCGGTAGGTATATATATAAAGAAAGATCGAGGTCGATCTGAAATATCAAAACTACACACATATAAATAAATATAAAAAAAATATAAATAAATACTTTCATAAAAAAACATTATTTTTTTTAATTTGCAACTTTATATATATATATACCCCGTGTATTCTCGTGTATAATCCGACTTCATGTATAGTGCGATTTTTTGCATGAATTTTAATCCCTTCAGAAAAATTTACCTTCGTATAGCGCAGCCGGTCACCGAAAATGCATGACTTTAATCTTTTTAAAAAATTACCTTTGTATAGTGCGATCCTCTACTTTTTGTGTAAAAAACTGATGATAAAAAAAAAAAAATAATCACGCTTTACTCGAATATATTTGGTATGTAAGCCAAAAGTTTGCCCCCCCACCCTCGGTTTCAAAGAATTGCCTAAAAATTGAAATTTGCGTGCCTTTTCAAAAATTAATTTACTAGCCAAGGCGACTTTCTTACAGATTAAAAGGTAAGAGACACAATTTATGAGAATATGTGGGGAAGATAACGGTTAAAACTAGACAATAACAGGTTAAGATTATAGTGATCGAAGAAGCATCCACTTGGGAGTAGGTTCCGTATAGTAACAGCTTGTTTACAGAAGCTGATCGAGGGGAACTTACATCTCACCAATGGAATACGAAGGGAATGAGGGTGGTTCGCTACCGAGTGTGCGTGGCACGGCGGGTCTTAGTAGTGAAGGTTAGAATTGGTGGAAATAATGAATATAGTTACGTCTCAAGACTTTCCATGGAAATAACAATAGAGTAGCAGAGTCTTGTAACATTTCGTCTGTGAGAAAAGGATTGTCGGGTAGAAAATAATCCATCATCCACAAGCCAACGTAGACGCTTTTGGGCTATCGAGATCGGAAAGTGAAAACCGAGAAGCTCCTGCTCATATATGGGAGCAGTACTCCATTTTTGGCCTCATCTGGTTCTTGTAAATGTAAAGGATAGCAGGAATCAAGTGCTTACTAGTGCCGAGCATTTTTCAGCATCTTTAGCGTTGGATCATATGCACAAGTTCCACTTGAAGTCTGGGATGATCTTAAGCCCTAATAGGCGTTCAAGGCACGCAGCTTCCCAGGAGAATATTTAGTCATCGGGTGTTGCAATCTTTTGATGTGAAGAAACTTCTATATTAGTTATATTTCTATGGATTTCATATTTTTTGTACGTTTTCGTCATTTATGCAACTGGTGTGAATTTGTTTACAGTAAAACTAAGTTCTTAGTATTTTTGTTGTTTAACTCGTGAGCGACATAGATTATACGCTAGATAGAAGAAAACTGATAGAAAGCGTTTTCAATAATATAGGCTTATGTTAGTAAAAATAAGATTATATTATTGAAAGATTTAACAAGATTCGTATGATTAAAAGAAAGAGCGAGAGGGAAAAGAAAGAATGAAATACTTGAAAACTAAAAAAGTAAAAATGGATTATTCTACACTCATTTACATTTCCTATATTTATTTGCTCAGACAGACATTTTTTGTTACTGGGAGATCTCAACATTTAAGGTTTAAAAACATTTAGGTTCAAATATCTCGGAAGAAAGAACGCGTCAGACTAGAATCAAAATATAAAATGTTATCACTTTTTTTTTCATCCACAAGAAATAGTTACGAGTAAAACTATCATTAAACAGCTGTGAATAAACAACATGAATAGGAAAGAAAGCCGTCTTTGTTCGATTTCGCATGTGATACATAAGTATTCAAAACATCTTTCTGCGTTTGATGTTGCATTAAGATGTACGTTTTCCAAGTATGTGTTTTTAGTTACGCAGCTTGATTTTGTATGTGAGAAACACATTTTACAAGTATGTTTACACTTCCTTTCATTCTATGTGAGTACTAATACATCTCTCACTGACCCTAGTAAATAAAAAACAAAACTAATTATATACTGTACTAAATTTAATACAACCAACTTAATCATCCGCAATAACTCTTTTCCGTCCACTAATATTTTGCAAAAGATCAACATTGTACATCAATTTAAATGTTCTTTGGGAGATTGTATCTTTGACAAAAACGTAAATATATATATGTTGGTTTCATGATGACGACATTATCAAGGACATTTACATTACATATTTCGGATTCAAGCCCTATTGCACAACATTTAAAGGAACATTCTTGTCTACATTCATAATTTAGAGAAATATTAATTGAAAATACAAGTATACTTCACCATGAAAATAAAAAAAAACTCCCTTAGATAACGTTAATTTGTGACTTAACAGAGTGCGTTTCATGCACATTTACAAAAAAAAAAAATCACAACTAGCTATTACATTAATCTTTTGTCTTAGCAATTCACCCCTGAAGATGACCTCGGATGAGATTGAAAGTACTTGGGAAAATAGAAAGGAATGAGAAAAAATAAGAAGCATTTTTTAATGAGTTTAATGACATTTTTAAGAAATTGATCCGTGAATTCGATAGGATTAAAATAAAAATAGACATGTCTAGATTATTCAACCAAACAATATATATTTATTATCGTCTAGCGGCTTGAAACTTCCAAAAATCTTATTAGAGAAAAAATATGCGCCCTTCGGCAGGATTCGAAACTGTGTCTCCCTTATCAATCAATAAAAAACTTACCTTCACACCATGTCCGACATTGTCTAATATAGTGTAATCAACAGGATTCCGGATATATTCTATCTTCTTTTGTGATCTGGTGGGTAAAACTATGCCCCCCTTCGTGTTTGGGGGAAGTGGTATAATTTCCTTCTTCCGTAATATATGAGCAATGCTCCGTCTGCTGACCTTCTGTTCATGAAATGACACCAACTGAAATTAGGAAAGAAAATTCCTATTCAATAAGCACAATAATTTATTTAGTTTACGATTATTTCTCAAGGTTATATAGTTTACGAATTCATTGTTAGCCATACTAATTTTATTTCGTTTAATAACATATTCAACACTAAATTTTTTTAAAGCAATTAATCATTTTTTTAAAATCCAACATTATTTCTTATTGTTATAAACATTATATCTAGTGGGTAAATAAATTTAGCTAAACATACTTGTTTACTCAAAAAGTGAAATTAATATCTACCCGCCTAGAGATGGAATGTCCCTTCCATACTAGTGACACTCCCGCCTTGCTTGGGGTGAAATGCTTATAAAAAAAGAAAAAAAAAAAAAAGTGCCCGTCGAAAGGAATCAAATCTGTATTACATTTTTAATGAAGGGAAACCGTTTTGAAGTCCAAGCGTACTTTACCATTAAGTCACGGAAAGCCATTACAGTAAAGCAAAGTTCAATTATCCTATTTAAGAAACCGAATATCTTGTTTGGACATTTCAAAGTCTATACCTGCTAACTTTATATTCGCACCTTAAACATAAACAAAGTAATTTTAAGTAATCAATAATTTTTTAATTCGACTTTATTCCGTATTACTGCAAACCATATTTATTGGGTACACATGTTTGAGCAGACTTCTGTTTTTTAAACAATGAAATTCATCTCTTAAGTGTTTTTTTTTTTCAAATTGAAAAGGAAGGAGGAATTTCGAAGGAATTTTAACCAGAGGAGGAATTGGGAATGGAGTTATATATAGGAATTTTCTAAGCGTAGCTTAGATGTGAAACAAGGCCGAAAGTATGGAGCACACAGTGAGGATCGGATTCACTATTCAGTCGTGATTGATCTAGTGAGGTAAGCTTGCTAACCATTACACCACATCGAAGTTCCCTAGAGAAATAATGATGAAAAAGTATGAGGTGTTAATGGAGGAGGAATTGAATAAATCTAAGGATCGCAAGGGGAGAAATGGGACTTTTATCCATTTATGTAATTATGCAAAAAAAAAAAAAAAAAAAAAAAAAAAAGAATTTAAAACTTAGGTTTCATGCTATTGTATGCCATTATAAACATGAAATAAATTGTTAAGGTATTTTCAGACTTTTTCCTATGATTAGACATAGACGCACCTACTGCAGTACATAGAGTGCTCCAACAATTCTAACGGTGAGAACAGCAGTTTTTACAGAGGAATAGTTAGCATTACTGTCGATTGAAATTTATAATTTCTTTTCAAACAGTTTTCAACAAAATAGCTTCTCAAGTTCAAGGCTATCGCCCTTTTTTAGTACTAATGAGTTTCTTTCCAAATCTTTTGTTTATGTTAGAGTGGAAAGGCAACATACTGATTATATCATTTTCCTTCTAATTACACGTTCTATTCCATTTACTTGTTGCTGTGGTTGGAAGTCTTCAAGTGATGTGATTTTTGTAATTTGGTGAGTTATTTGTGATTTTGTAGCGCCAGTTTATAAGATGTGATGGATTGCCTTTTTTTTTAATTCTTGATTTGACTATTGCTGCCACATCTGGTCTGATGCTCTTGCTATATATTTAGAGATTCTTGAAGAAGAATCTGCAATGTTATTGGTCTTGACCGGACATCTCGATTTCAGTCCCTTTCCCACCGCCACAATGTAGATTCCCTTTGTCTTTTCTATAAATACTTTCATAGTAATTGATTCTGATGAACTTTCCTCTAACACTGTTTTGTTTAGTTTCTTGTAATTAAATTGTAAATATTCATTGGGGTTTCATTTTAAATCTTGTTATATTTAGCCGCCCCCAGACAAATTGTACATATGGGAACTAGTCAGGACTACATAGTGACTTTGGGGTATCATGGTGGCTGTAGTAAGAATATGTTCTGCTGTAAGCAATATAGTAGTATGTTTGGGTCAGTAATCGTGGCTAGCTAAGTTAAGACATATTGAAGACAAGCTTTCCTCTATCCCGAAAATCAACGATCTATACTATTCTTATAAATAAAGATACGTCTTTACTTTACTTTTCAAAACAATAACATCTCTTTCCTTCCCTTTCCACCATCAACTCTCCTACATACAGGTACGGTAAAACTGATGTGTTCATCTATATTTTATATGCTTAGAATTGGGTTTATTTTTTTTCTTAGATTTAATGATTTTAATTTTGTTTACTGTTGTTAAAGCTTAAATAAGCAATCACCTTGGGACCAGGAACGGTTCAATCCATTTCACATTAATTCCTATTGGAAAAATAGTTCCGGCTAACGAACATTTCGGGTTACGAATGAGCTTCAGGAACGAATTAAATTCGTGAACCGAGGTTTCACTGTAAATAATAAATACAATTTCAGAATTCACGCGGGGACGTTAGGTGTATATATTTTAAGTAGACTTTAGAAGAGACAGAAAAGCCAATCCTAAACTTGAAACAAGAGATAGACCCCTACTCCTGTTCAAAAGACCGAGGAGGAATGAGAAACATTGCAGTTCAGCATTTTTCGTTGTTTTTAATTAATTTTTACTATTTTTAATTGGTTATTTAACATTTAAAAGTTATCTTTCCAATTAGTCTTTTTTAGCGGAAAGTAGGCAAAATAAAGTATGTGAAACTTACTGTTGATAATTCATTGATGGTCGATTCAGCTTCGTGAATACTTCCATTTTCCAGTTCCAGAAACTGAAGGAACTTTTCAGCAGCCATGCCAATCTGACTTGCAACGCACGCTAGCGAATGGGTTGCATAAGTGATCGTACTATTGAAAGCAGCTTTTTTGTCTTCTTCCTAAAGTTAAAAAAAAAGAAAAAAATTAAATGCTTTTAAATGATCAACGATAAATAAAGCGATATATCATTGTTTTTACAAGTTGTCATTTATTTTAGTTACCAAAATAAATAAAAAAACAATTAACTACAACGGACAGTAATGACAAAGTGGTTCATATTGTGCATATGAAGACACATCAATAAGTCAGTAGCCTGACACGTAAATAAATTTTGATCAGATAATTTCACTGCATATTCTTGTTTCTTGTATAAACAAGGGTGGGGTAACAAATAAGAGTGGCGATCTATAAATTTAAAAAAAATGAAACAAACTGGAGTGGGTTTCAAATAAAAAGGTCAGTGTTATTTTTTTCGGAGAATGAGAATAAACATACATTGTTTTGCATTCAATGATTTTAATAAACAAGTGTATAAATGTTAATTGACGAAATTTTAATAACCGCACATCTGCTTATTTTGTTATAGAGGCGACAGTGTTTCATGCTTAATTGCAATCGTCATGGTTTAACGATTGAGTTCAAGAATGAAGCACAATATCGACTTATATTTATATATATATATATGCATAAAGACAAAAAGAAAACTCTTCTTTATCAACGCGTTTCGTCCTCTGATGGAATTTATCAAGGTAAATGGGAAACAGTCTACCAGAGAACGAAACGCATTGGTAAAGAAAACGTTTTCCTTTTGTCTTTATTCATATTGTCTTTTTACAGATATTTTTACAGATATTACTTGTGTCTGATTTTTTTTTTACAGACACACATACATATGCGCGCGCGCGTGCGTGTGTATATAAACAATAAATATATATTGTTGACCGATTTGTTAGTAGTACTCCCGTCTTGCTTGGGGTGAATGCTGAGAACAAAACACGTTTATCATTGATTGATTTTTTACGGTTGACAAAAATTGTGATTTTTTTCAAAGCCAAAAAATATTTTGGATAATAGGGAAATTTATTATTTTTTCATTATTTTAGTTATTCTATATTTATGAAAATATTTGTGAATAGCTTTCAACCCTTTTCCAAAACTGAACATAATATAATATTTTCCTAAAGTCTTTTACTGGAGATGAAGTTATGTAATCAAGTATTGTACTAAAATTAAATAATTGATACTGTTTTTGAATAAAATAAATGACGTGGTCATATTTAAAAGAGAAAGAAAACTAAACTGACAAATTTAAATCGAAAATACTTGAACAAAAATAACAAGATATGTACTTCGGACAGTTTATCCACAACTTCGAGCACAATACTTAACAACTTATCCGAAAATTGTAAAAATATAATACAACATTAAACAGCCAGACATTGTCGTTCTTATTAGTCAAACTTGTGTGTGTGTGTTTAAAAACAACAGCCTACAAAATAAAATGGTGGAATAAAATAATATCAGATGTCAGTTAGTATGTAGCCAAATTGACAATAATTTATATCTGAATGTAAATAAATTATCTTCCACCAAGAAACATACCGACTTGAAGTTAAGTTAAAGCAAATGGTTGAAATTAAATTCAAATAAAGACGTGTATGTACGAATAATAATAAAAAAAGAAAAGTTGCAGTTTCAAATTAAATAGCAATACTTATTTTAGCAAATACAAAATCTTTTAAGAGAAAAGTCGCTGGAGAAAGGAAGTCATACGAGGGCCCTGTGTGTGGGGAGGTAGGTTGCATAGTTGAACAGCTGACTAAGTTCTGAGAAAATGTGTGTAACTACATCGATAAAACGAACGATCTCGACTAAACTTGTTGACAAATTTCCTCATATAGGAGTTCTTCTTTGTACCGCTTCCCTTCCAATGACTCGAGGTGGAACAGCTACATTGAATCAATAGCTGCATCTACTGCAAGGAAAGTCGGTTTACTGTGTTGTGCCAGAAGGTTTTTCTCGTCAGAGTCAATCTACAAATCTACTATTCGTACATGCATTGAATATTGTTGCCATATATGGTCTGGCGCCCTTGCTGTTCATTTCGAAGTTCTCGACAAAATCCAAAGAAGGATCTGCAATGTAATCAGTCCTAACTTGACATCTTGACTTCAGACGTGATGTCAGAAGTCAAGATGTTATTCATGGTTCTACAAAACTTCCTATCTCTTATGAACTTCGGCATTTTTTCTACTTTTGCTAAAGCTAATGCCCCCACCCCGTTTCGCTGTCCATTTAGACGAACTCTTAGGGAAATGCAGCGAGCCACCTACCTTATCTCTCTTGCTCCCAATACGCCCTCTGAGGGCTGTTTTCTCAACCCTCCTTCCTCATTATGCGTCAAAAAAACTTTCAGCTGTCTCTTCCTAATTCTGAGCATGTGTTCTTTTTGTTGCCCCCCAAATGAAATGCAAAAAACTCCCAGTCTGCTCGCATTTCAACGAGTTAAGCTCCAGCAAGTTACTGGTCGACGTGTTTTGTTAGGCGTTAACGACCTTTGTTATTATATATACCGTATTCCTGGGTGTAAAAGGCGCAATTTTTTTTTTATTAATCCCAAATCTTGTAAAAAGTCTGCTTCGTCTTATTCTTTGGAACTCAATCTCATTTTTGCAAGACTCAAAACGGCAAAAACAGGGTCGAACTGGATTTATTCATTTGCCGGAGAGATGATATCTATCTAATGACGTATTGTAACAAAGGGAAATAAATCTTTCATATCGTTTTAAGTCTTGTACGGTTCAATACTTTTTCTGGATTTCGTTGAGTCTAGACACCTATGTGAGTTTAGAAATCATTCAACAGTAAAAAAAAATATGTAATTTACGAGAGAAAAATACCAAATGATCTAGAATTATAAAATAAAAAAATGTTTCTTTAATGACTGTCTCACAGTAAACACATTTAGCAAATTGTGTAAACAATCAATTACCGACTAATGTTTCGTAATGTTTACGAATCACGAAAGTAAACAAAAAATACCTTCATTTTTTTTTCTCTTTTTTTACAAGTTTTGGCCAATTTCTTTGATCTAAAATCAGGTGCGTTTTATACCTGAATATAAACTTTTTTTTAGTAGAATTTCTATTTTAACGGCGTCTTATACTCCCTATACCCAAAGGATTATTGATATAATGAATACATAAAAACAACGGTACTATATTAAACAGTAAAACCAAGTCAAAATAGCTTATCGGTCGCAATAAATGAGTGAGTTCTCAATGCCCAAAGTAGGCAGAATTACTACTGTTTAGTATATATTAAGAACACAATAAAAACCGTTGTAAAATCGTTATTACAAGTTTCACACGACAAGCGATCTTCAGACGTTATTCATGCCATAACATTCCCAGATACATTTCAACCAAATATAAATGTAACCTTTAAATCTATTTTTGTATAAAGGTTATATTTGTCCGAAACGTATGTGTGGGAACATTAAGTTGTAAAGATCGCTTGTCGCGTGAAACTCTTAGTTGCAATTTTAACCCTTTTTATTTTTATATTCTCAGTCTTTACTATATAATAATTGCTAATCAAAAATTTGAAAATTAAAAATCTAAATATCTTGGCAGGGTCGGTGCATGGGTATCGCGCCTCACGTAAATCTATGATATAAGAAAAACTCCATCTCAATTTTCATAAGGTAGTATTCATATAAAATACAAATTTTATTGTAACATTATTATCATTTTAAATATCATTTTTAGTTGTCACTCGTATTTGAGTTTGTGGAATTTTATTCATTAAACGCTATATATTTATTTATTTTCGTCTACCGACCTAAATGTTTGAGAAATCTTATGAGAAAAACTTGCGCTCGTCGGCATCTAATTATGTACAATAATGGATCATATGGTGAACAGTTCAACTAGAAAAATTTAAAATAAATACAATGTATCGAAATAAAAATTAGAGACCTGTTATAATAGATTATTGCATCTTAAATAAATCAATAATGTTTTAATGCATATTATGAATAAAAGATAGTGTTTTTAATATTTACGGTGGAGTAATGGATAGCGTCTTGGATTGAGGAAACGGAGAGCTGAGTTCGAATTCCATCCGAATCCATTATATTCACTTACGCGCTAATACCCTTGGGAAAGACATGAATCCTCTTCTCTCACCGGCTAAGGGTAAATAGCAGGACAGATCGGATTCTATAGCCTTGGATGGCAACTGGTCTACCGAAGAAAGAAATGGCAACCTATAGCGGGAAAAAAATCTGCCTCGTCAGTCATGTATCATGATCGTCTACGCATGTATCACGTAGGCACATAATTGACTGAAAACAAATTCACGGATTTGGATGAAAATAAAATATAAAAAAAAAACAGAATGTCGTCAAAATTCACGAAAATGTTTCATCTTTTAATAGTCACTTGTGCTTAGTTTATTTGTAACGTATATAAATGTAGGTAGAAAAAAAGTAAATGTTAATAAGATAGGGAAGGTTACAAAGCAATGCCCAGGGCTCCCGATCAGGCCTCAAGGTTAGGGGTGAGTTCAGAGGTAGTACGCATCGTTCTAGGATCTAGGAAGTGTTTTAATGGATGCCGGAAAATACAGTACCGAAATCCGAAGGTGCATTGGGATAGCAACAGCAAAGCTATGCAACGTATTAAGAAACGGGAAAATATCATTAGACACAAAGAAAAGAGTACATAACTTATGTAATAGCGATCCTCTTATATGGTAGTAAATGCTGGACAATTTCCTCACAGGTGAAAAAGAAACTTGAGCCAAGAGAAATGTGGTTCGACGGAAAGGCACTGAGAATACTTTGAAGTGAACATGTGTGCAATGATGAAAGCTTAGAGAAAATAGAAATAAAAAAGACACTTAGAATTAGGGAGAGAATTGAAATTTCTAGGGCACATAATGAGGAAAAGGCTTGGAAAATGTGCCACTCACAGGACACATAGAAGTCAAAAGGAAAACAGCGCATAATTTAGTTTACGTCATCGTAAGCAAG